ATCTGAAACCACTGAATTAATTAGAAAATGAAGCATGACATTCTTGCACTTCCGTGCATGCCTGTGTCAATACCTCACTTGGCAGTATGGCCGTGGAAGTGGGAGGTTTCTCTTCAGACTGGACTACTGTTGAATTGTATGCCCAAGACAACCTTTTACATACTTCCTCTTATTATAAGGGTTTGAGTATGTCTTGGGGAAAGTACTGTCCTGAAAAGTGTTAACAACTTTCCCTGTTTTTCTGACTTTATATAATAAACATGTTTAAGCAAAGTTATATTAAATTAAACCTTTATGAGTTGTATATGCCCTGTAACTATGGCAGTTTGCTATTCAAATACTTTATATTATAAACAGTTACTTCCTAATTGGTGAGCACAATAGACTTGGGCCATGACCTCCCAGAGAGTTTTTCACTGAGAAAATCTATCAAGATCCCCAGATCCATTACAAATCACAGATCTCTTTAAGTGAAATGAAACAAGAAAAGTTTAAGGTGTGGTAAATGAATGTTTGGATGTGTGAGACCATGTTCCTATGTTTGAGCCCGTGTGGCGGCTACTATGTCAATCCCTCTCACCAAGGTCTGACATCTGTTTGGCTGTTCCGATTCTTTGCCAAGCATGATGTCTTTTTCCAGGAACTGGTCACTCCCGATAACATGTCCTAGTGCCCCAAAGGAAGTGTCACCATCCTTGCTTGTAAAGAGCTTTCTGGCTGTACTTCCTCCAACAGAGATTTATTTGTTCTTTTGACAGTTCATGGTATTTTCAATATTCTTTGCCAGCACCGTACTCTTTCTTGCAGTTTGCAATATTCACATGGATACGAGGTCCATTTAGGTCAGGTGTACCATAGTCCTCTAACCTCTTTGCTTTTCAATACTGTCAATAGGTTTTATGCAGCAGACAGACTCACTGCATTATACCATTTCAGCGCTGATTGCTCTTTCATGAGCGTTGCGTGCACTGGCTGACATATTGTTTTACTCCTTCAAATTTAGACTTGTTTCTGGGTATGTTTCACCTGCAATTAAAAAAATGGCTCCCATTTTTCAAGAACAGAACATATGTCATATGCCACTCTTCTCTGTATTTTAGTGTAGTGTTAGCTAGCCTGTGGCAGAGGAAATGCACCCGAACATTTTTTGTTGAATTAGATATGTATGTCAAGTCAATACATCACATGGTATATTTTATTTAAAAATTTTTTTAATATGTAAACACTTTTATTGGGACATACTCCAAATATTATATAATTCAGTAGCACAATCATAACAAGAAGAGTTGTACAATCATTTTTAGAATAGTTTCTTCTTTCTTTGCCCTCATTATTAGCTTCTCATATACCCCTAGCCCCCCATGCTGTACCCCCAAGGACCGACTAATCCAGTTACTCTCCCTACAGATTCACCCATCTTAAATTTCATATACCAAAAAACACACAGAAACAAAAAACTAAAGGTCGAAAAGCTAACAACCATAACAAAATAGAGAAAAACTCCAGTTGAAAAGAAAACAGAAAATATTAGAAACTAAAACAACTTTAAATCAAAAGGGAGATCAAATGATAAGTATTCGATCTTAACCTAACTTAATCCACCATATTCACTTTACAACGCATGCCTTATGATAGCCAGTCTATTCACATCCACAGTCTATGTTCAGAGGGAATTCACTGAAGGCTTAATCCACATGTATTTTCCCGTCACTTTTGCTCCCCACCCCACTTTTAATGGATTGAACTTTTAGGGCTCAAAGGGCAGATCAAATCAGATGTTACATTTTAGCCTGGTTGAGCCCTGCTGGTGTAGTGGTTACAGATTGGGCTGCAATCTACAAGGTGGTTGGTTCAAAACCACCAGCAGCTCTGAGGGAGAAAGACTGGGCTTTCTACTCCCATAGACAGCTGCAGTCTCGGAAACCCACAGGGGGTTACTGTGAAACAGCATGGTTTTGACGGCAGTGAGTTTGGTTTTAGTTTAGTTTACTTTTTTTTATATATATAATTGTTACCACAATCAGTTTCCAAACATTCTTTTCCTTCCCTCTCCACCCTACCACTACAACACCCCCATCCCCACACACACACACCTCCCACACTCCCATAGCATTGGTTTTGGAAGTGGTTGAATGTATAAGTTTTTGGCTTGTTCTTAAACTATCTTTTGAAATTTCCTGTTCAGGGCTTTGCCTTCAGAATTTCATTTCTTCCATTTGTCTTTGCTACTCAGAGTCTCTTCTGTCACCCACACTGATCTTTTCTTTCTTTCTTGTCTTTTTAATGACCTTTTGCTTACCTTGAATATGATATTCTTGATGTCATCCCATAGTTCATCATGTCTTTTGTCATTAATGTTCAATGCATCAAATCAGTTCTTGAAATGTTCTGGAAATTCAGGTATGAGAGATGTAAGGTAATATTTTGGCTCTCATGGACTTGATTTAATTTTCTTCAGCTTTAGCCTGAACTTACATATGAGCAATTGATGTTTTGTTTCTGGCTTGAGCTGCTGATAATGAGCTTCACCACCCTTTCTCTAATTTTATTTCTTGTATTCCATCTGGAGAAGCTCATGCATATAGTCATCATTTGCGTGGTTGAAAAAGGTATTTGAGATGAAAAAATTGTTTGCCTTGCAGAATTATATCATCTGATTAACAACTTCATTTATGTCACTAGGCCATATATTTCAATACTAGCCCTTTCTCTTTGTTTCCAACTTTTATACTCCACAATCCAATAATTATGCACACCTTAATCAAGGTTTGATTTGATTTGATAATATCAGACTAGAGACATTGGTAAAAATCTAGCTTTAGTTGTTGGTACATACATTTGAATAATAGTCAATTATATTGACTGATTTTCTTTTTATGCAGCTACATACATGTCTCAGTACTTTCAGATAGATATTGAAATGTCCATTTGGATGAGGAATGAGACTCCATTCCTCTTGATTCTGACATATAGGCATAATAAATCACAAGGTTTTCTGATTCAATTGGCAAATTCCTGTCTATTTCCCCTTACTAATGACTAGTATATTAATTTTTATGCATTTATCTTTTGATGATTTTCAACTCTCCTAGATTCGTACTTCATAAATTCCAAGTTCCAATCCTTAATAGATGCTTGCATCTATTTCTTCTCAGTTTGAGTCATGCCCATCAGCAAATGCCAGGTCCTGTAGGCTTTACTCCACTCACGTCATTATGGTTGCTTTTACTTTGAGAAGTCAGCCCTTCCTCAGTCAGATTTTGAGCACCTTTTGACCTGAGAGGATCGTCATCTGGCACTACATCTGACAATGTTCTGATCATATTGTTGAGGTTTTAGTGTCTGACACTGTGTTGATGCTATACAGGTTTTCAGTGGCTAACTCCTCAGAGAGGGATAGGCTAATACTTCTTCACAGTCTGCTCTTAGCCTGAAAGCTCTGCAGAAACCTCTTCACTCTGGGTGACCCAGTTGGTCTTAAGAAATATCATTAACATAACTTCCAGGATCACAGCAACACAGAAGCTACCACAGTATGACATAGTAACATTATAGTCTCTCACCTAGCATTTGACTAAGTCTTTAATCAAGAGGCTGTTTTATACTTTTGTTATCAATTTTTCAGTTTCCAGGAAAGGATTTGATAATAGCCTGAATAGTATACAAATGAATTATAGAATCATCCATGACTCTTTTAAACACAATAGTTCTAAGTGAAATAGGTGACATGCAGTAAGTGATCTTCTCTCTCTAAGAACAGTAGGGTAGATTTCTGTGTTCTGGCATGACTATTCACTCTATCCCCCCTTTTTTACCAGCATCCAAAACACCATTGTATTTTTTTCTATTACAAAGTGTCCTTGGAGATAGACAGCTGTTATCAACCTAGGCTATTTTTTCTTCTTTTCAAAATGGGGTGGGGTGGATGGAAGTCGCCATTATAAGAGAAGTATCTGGCATTGAGAGTAATTTCTCAAAGCCAGTCAGAGTCCAGGGGAAAGAGTTTAGTTGTTTTGAATGTTAACATTTTCTTAGGCTTTGGTAAGGATCTCTAATACCTTTATTACTATCATTATTTTCAAAGAAAGTAGGATAGGTCTTTTATTTTCATGCCAAATGGTAAGATACTCAGACCGCCATGACTTGGGAATATAATTTTATGTACTTAAATTAAGGAGAACAATTTATTGGGTCAAAGTTCTCCCAACATATAGAAAGGTAAATTGAAGTGTTGTATACCTTTGCATACTGTTTTACTGTATACATCTGACAAATTTCTAGTGGCATAATGAACTAAAAAGTTATATTCCTTCAAATATCACATTCTTAAAGACCCCTTACCACTTTAAACACCTGTTTGATTGCTGGTGAGCATTTTGAAAACCCATGCTTGGTATTGATCCTTGTAATTTGCTGTTGACTGTTTTCGAGTTTAACTATTTTGAAAGAAAGTTTACTAAAAATACTCAAGCATATTATAAGGCTGTGTACTATTCTGATAAGTAAGGCTGCTTTAGTACCTAATGCAATCCAGGCTACATTAATATTGTTACACAGCTGAAAGTCATTAATTCTGAGTTACAAAACTTCAGAATGAGCTAGTGGAGTAGATTAATTGGTAAATTAGGACTTCGTGTATAATGAAAAGTGCTCTGATGGATGTAGAAGTGGGTCCTATGGGAGAATAGTGGAAGCACCCTATCCTCAGATGTGGGGTGAGGATAAAAATGTTGTTCTGGGAACATGTCTTAAAGAGGGTCATGTTTCATTCTGTGCTGTCTTCTAGCCAGCAGGTAGAAAAGTAAAGCAAAGGTTCTTCAGAAAAACTACCCCCAAAAATGCTTACAGATGTGAGACATCATGAAAATTTGGGGGAAAATGGGAGTGAAAAGGAGAAAAGACTTACAAAAAAGAAAGAAAGGAGAAAAGAAACTATACTGTAGAATATGTAAAATTTGAACTATATTAATTGCTAATGACTATTTTCTTTTTTAATTCAGATGAAGAAAATATTCATGACCAGATGACTTACAGAATGCTTTTGAAAAGAATGGAAGAATACTAAATCATTGCCATAACTGAGGAGCAAGTTGTTTTTTGGAGAAATCCTGTTCTTGGGATATTTCTTGCTTCTAATTGAAAAGATTAAAGAATACAACTTTACACCAAAGGCAAATCTGTTACCATCAAGTTGATTCTGACTTACATTGACCCCTAGAGGACTCTGCAGTAGAACGGCCCCATATGGTTTCTAAGGCTGTAATCTTTAAGGAAGGTGACTGCCACATGCTTCTACTGTGGAGATATCTGGTGGGTTTGAACTCCTAAACTTTTGGTTAGCAGCCTATTACTTAACCACCGTGTGACCAGGGATCCTTACAACTACCAAAGTCTTCAGTATATCTGCATTTATGACCACATTGTAAATAACAATGAGCATAGCATTACACTGGTCTTCCTAGTGAGATTTGGAATCTTGCATCGGTGAACATGAGTGATCCAAGACTGTCACAAGAAGAGAAGCACAAGCTAAGACCCTCTTCAAAGTTTAAGGATCCTCCCAGAATCATGCAGACAGATGATTATTTTGCTCGGAAATTTAAAGCCATTAATGGCAACATGGGACCTCCTACTTCTTTAAATGCTTCAAATTCCAGTGACAGTGGTGGTCCACCGAATGGTACCCCAGTCGTACCCAAAATGGGTGTGAGGGCAAGAGTATCTGAATGGCCTCCTAAAAAGGATGGCTCCAAGGAGGTATCCTCCAAGGGACTGTGGGAGAGCCATTCCCAAACCAGTTATGAAAGTGTCACCTCCATCATGCACAATGGACAAAATGACCAGAGTGACGGTCAACAAGAGGATCAGCTTGATCTAGAATTTGTGGAGGCAAAGTATACAATTGGAGACATCTTTGTGCATTCTCCTCAAAGAGGACTTCACCCCATACGACAGAGAAGCAATAGTGATGTAACCATCAGTGACATCGATGCTGAAGACGTCTTAGACCAACATGCAGTGAACCCCAACACGGGGGCAGCTCTCCACCGAGAATATGGAAGCACATCTTCAATTGACAGACAGGGTTTAACTGGTGAGAACTTTTTTGCTATGCTCAGAGGATACCGAGTTGAAAATTATGACCACAAAGCAATGATCCCTTTTGGGTTCCCCGAGTTCTTCTCTTGTGATCCTGCGATCTCTCCTAGCCTTCATGCAGCAGCACAGATTTCTAGAGGAGAGTTTGTGCGTGTCTCAGGGTTAGACTACATGGACAGTGCTGCCCTACTGGGGAGAGACCGGGACAAACCTTTCAAACGGAGGTTAAAGTCAGAGTCAGTGGAAACATCCCTTTTTCGAAAGTTGCGAACTGTGAAAAGTGAACATGAAACTTTCAGATTCACATCTGATCTGGAGGACAGTCGTCTTGAAAGGGGCGTGCAGCCTTGGCATTGTCAAAGATGTTTTGCACATTATGATGTCCAGAGCATTTTGTTTAATATTAACGAAGCCATGGCAATAAGGGATAATGTGGGGAAAAGGAAAAACATAACCACTGGGGCTTCTGCAGCATCCCAGACTCAGATGCCAGTGGGCCAGACGGGCACCTGTGAGTCCCCTTTAGGGAGCAAAGAGGACCTTAACTCGAAAGAAAACCTGGATGCCGATGAGGGTGATGGGAAAAGTAATGATCTTGTCCTGAGTTGTCCTTACTTTAGAAATGAGATAGGAGGGGAAGGTGACAGAAGAATTGCTCTTTCCAGAGCCAACTCAACATCCTTCAGTTCTGGGGAAAGCTGCTCGTTTGAATCATCTCTCAGCTCTCACTGCACAAATGCAGGTGTCTCAGTTTTGGAGGTGCCCAGAGAGAACCAGCCGATTCACAGGGAGAAAGTGAAGCGCTACATCATAGAACACATTGACCTTGGGGCCTACTATTACCGAAAGTTCTTCTATGGAAAAGGTAAGAAGGAGCTGAGAAGGCTCATATGTGTGTTGCCGGGATAATTTGAAAGCGTTGACGTTTCCTTTACTGTCAGGGCTAATCGAAATACCTTGCTTTGTGCAGACCCACCTTCGCTAGCGACACCTCTACAATAGGCCGTCCCTTCCTGGTCACTTAAGCTGGTTCTCATAGACGCTTCAAAGCTCCCAGATCAGCACCTCTTTCCAAAAACATACTGACTCCTGTCCCATTGATTCTCAAAGTGGCCCTGTGTAGTTTTTCTGGGAATAGATAACCTCCACTTTCTCCCAAAGAACAACTGCCATCTTATAGTTAGCAGGCCAGTGCTTACCCACAGTGCCACTAGGAATTATTAATCCTCTTGCACTCACTACCGTTGAGTTGATTCTGACTCAGAGCGACCCTGTAGGACAGGATAAAATGATTCCTGGGAGTTTCCGAGACTGTAAACCACTCGTTACAGGAGCAGAAAACATGGTTGTTGTTTTTTTGCCGAGTGGCTGGTAGGTTCAAACTGCTGACCTTGCAGTTAGCAGCCCAGTGCATAACTACTACACCACCAGGGCTCCTCATCCTCTGTAGATTTCCTCAATTTCCCTTTGCTCATTTGCAGTCCTCAACATAGAGATGCTTCTTTTTCCCCTTGATCTGCCAGCTCATGGGAATTATCACTGTTAAAGGAATAGCTAGTGGTTTTGAACTGCCAGCTTTGTGCTTAGCAGCCAAATGTGTAACCTGCATGCCACCAGCGCTCCTAGCCTTTATATTTAAGAAACTTGCTGAATTATCTACTAGGGAGATATATCTACTATGCTGCTTGTAGAGTCACACATTGGTCAGTGATTCGTGCTGAACAAATAAAAGCCCAGATCACTGACTGTCTTGTTGAGTTTCTTTGCCCCTCTGTATGTTACAACATACTCTCCAGGGCCAGATTTCTCAATTTCCAGCTTTCCTGGTACATGCTTTGACTCCCAAAGCACTTAAGGAGGCTGGCTTTACCTGCTTCAGCCCAGTTACACTTGTGGGGTCTGCTCACTCTGCACTAGCATATGTAGTGTTGATTTCTATCTTAGGAATGTTTACATATAATCTTTAACACTACTTGTTGTGTGGCAGAGGGCAGGGCTGAGGAACAGATAACTTAGACACAGGTTATTCATTCTATCTAAGGTCCTTTTAACATTATCACCAATGTGGAACTTAAAAAAAAAAAGTTCCCATGGAGAGAAAATTTGACTCATTAATGCCCGCATGGCTTGTAAACATTTGTTTTCTAGAGAAATTATTGTTAAATTAATAATTTGTTCATTTAGCAACAGTTCTTGGTCCACCTGTTGTCTCCCTTGCTCGATAACTCACTTTTCCTCGGTGTTTCTGGTTGGCATAATTTCTTTAGTCCTACTGTCATCTCATTCAGTAAACTCAAAAGACCTTCGGCATTCCTTTTTGTCTGTGCTGTGAAAATAATGACCACTCGATTGTTCACCCACTGACAACACAAAGTACTGCTAATGGGTAGGCTCTAAGTGGAACATAATTACTTCTGGAAAACATGGGGAACATGGGGAAATAGACTTTCTAAATAAGAATGTTTTTGGTTGATGATGCCATGGCAGCCAAAGCTTGCAATAAAATGAAGTGTCAAAATACTGTGCTTTAAAGTTTTAAAGCAATGAGTCATTCTGACTTGTGAAATTTGTAAATAGTTTGTGATTCACTCTTTAAAATATTAGAACTTAAGAAATATGCACGCATATTTTTGCAAATAGTGCCTACATCTCATTAACACTAAGTTTATTGCATTCCTTAAGTGTGTGACTACCCTTTTTTGCCTTCTTACCCTATGTGGAGGAGAACGTTGACGTGCTGTAGGTCTAGAGTCCTCACCATTTGGCTTATTTAGCGCCCTCAGGGTCTGTTCAAATAGAGATTTTAGGTGCTTCCATCCTCTTACTTGCCTTTAACTGCTTTTTGTGGCGTTCTTCCTGAACTGCCCGTCTTGCTAATCCTGTTAGGTTTCCTTTACTTTTTCAATAATCCTATGTTATGTCTCCTTTACTTTCTTAAATATGCTACTTATGATTCTCTAGGACTTTTGAAATGACATCATCAAACTTGTCATCTATGTGTGAAATGAAAGTTAAATAAGTGCCCCACAAAAGGAATTTGAAAAAAAAAAACTAATAAAAGAAGAATTTAAGGGTGGACGATCTACATGAATTTTGGTGCACGCGCAGAGACATGCCCTTTGGTTGTACAAGGGTGTTGCGCATGTGTTTTGGTTCCAGGCTTGCGGTCGATCTGGGAAGGAGTCAATAGCTAACCTCAACGACTCAGGAGGTAGGAAAAGCCTAAATTCCACATTCAGACTTCGGGCCTTGGGTCAGCCCTTTGCTTCTACAAAGTCTCTGTTTATTTATTGGCAAAATGAGTGAGTGGGCGGCATCTCGAGGTCATTTTTGTCCTTCGTGTGCATGAGTCTGAGGAAGGTTTTGTTGTGCTAGCTAATGCACTCGGAGCACGGAGAGATGTGGCAACCAGGAGAGGGAGAAACGAACGGACTCTTTTTCCAGTACAGCAGTGACTGGGCCCTTGGCTTCTCCTATATTTAGCTCTTCCCCTGCGGCCTGGTGTGACTTTAAATGAAATTGGCTTACAATAGCATCTGCTGGTTGCTTTGTAGGGACCAGCAGAGAGTGCAGCCCGTCTTCTGGGGGGATCAATAGGGTGGGGCGGCAGGAGACCACCACACTGCGCGGAGACTCACCCTTTTGACTTAAGCCCGCAGACACAGCTGTGCTGCTCTTTTATTGCAGATACATCACAAGTGGCAGGAACATACACTATTTTTTAATTGTGCAGACTGGCACACGTGATTTTGTTGGCATATCAGAATAGCAGAAATATTTGTTTTAGAATTTTTAAGAAGTGTATAAATAATATATGATTATAATAGTTGGCATTTTTTCCTCTTTTTTTTCCTTTTTGTCTTTCCTCTTTCAGGATTTTTCTCTTTGGAAACGCATTCTCAAGGATCTCCTGATAACTTCTGAAGTGCCTTTTTTTTTTTTTCAATGTTCTTTAGTTCTGTGTGACACAATTTTCAAAAGAAGTGAATGTCTCCCATCACAGGGAAATGTTTAAAGTAAAGAACTTCAATGACTTGGTTTATGGTTTCCTAGCTACTTATTGCCAAATGCCTGCTTGGTATGCCAAGGCGTATTACTATGACGCATAGACCCTGAAAGGCTTTGCAATGACTTTGTAAAAGGATTTATGAAGGGGAGCCGCTTGCCACAGTTAAATATTTAGCAATACTGCTTGTCCAGGCAAATCCATCTAGCCTTCAGTGAAGCAGCCGGGGAGAGTAGCAAGCACACCAAATGTTCCAATCTGCTGGTGGTGATCACGAAGTGAAAATTGGAAGTTCTTGCAAAGCTATTGCGTTTGGGATGAACCTCATAGTAAAATTGCTGTTCCCTCCTTTCTGGCTTTTCTATTTGTGAGACAGATGTGATGAAAGGACATTAAGTATGCATTCTAATTGTCTGTTTCCACGATGAGCCAGCCATGTGGCGCCCGTATGCTTGTTTAGATGCCCTTTGGTTTTCACTGTACCACAGCAGTAGGCTCTGCCTTCTTCGAATCCCACGTAGCCCTTGAAGATGCAGCCTAAGTCCTATATATGCAGAGCCTGCAATGAGGGGGAGCGAAGCAATACATAGGGTCTTCTTTGGGGGTTCTACAGCGCATGTCACACAGGCAGGACAGTGCAGGGAGGCTAAGTAAATATGTTTTGGATGGAGGTAAAACCAAAGTGAAGAGAAAAATTGAGCCTCCTTGGTAACTACTCACTGAGTGGCTTGAAACTAACTACACCATTTTCCAAGCCATCGTAGCATTTATTGTTTTACTATATCATCCTTCAGACACCACATGTGCTTCACTTAGCATGGAGGGGGAAACTGAGAAAGATTGAATGCAGAAATATTTGTTTTAGAATTTTTAAGAAGTGTATAAATAATATATGATGATAATAGGAAAGAAATCAAGAACAAAAGGGGAAACACAATATAATCACCCCACATTCACCAGATATAATTACTATTAATTATTTCATTTTTCAATGTTCAGCTATCAGAAAGAATAATGCCTGGAGTCTTAATGGCTTGTCTTAAAGCAGGCAGTCATGTAAGTGAGGTGTCAGCCAAGTCCACATGGAAGAATAACACCAGCCCATGGATTTACAATTTATGGACTGTAAATAAAATCCAAGCTCAGATGAGGGAATTGCATTAGAACTTAAATTCAACGCACCTAGTTTACAGAAGGCGATCAGTCTTAGTGAAAGCCTCGGTCTTTGGCCAGAGTTTCCACAAGGTTTAAACTTCCCTTGAGTTCCCTGGGATCATTGATCAGGGATGTGAATAGTCTTCCCTTCAGAGATAGTGCGTTGTAAAGTGGCTATAGTTAGGTTCATATTTTTCATAGCATCACTTATTTTTCCTTTGCACCCAGTTTTATATTTTTCTAGATTCTATTATCTATTTTCTCTTTTATTGAGATTTTTCTGTCATTACTTTTATTGTCTTTGTTGGAGCTTTTGTACATGATTTTCTTTACATGAAATCCAGGATAGGTAAATCTATAGAGATAGTACCTAGATTAATAGTTTCTTTGGGTTTTGGCAAGGTAGGTTCAGGAGAATGAGGAGCTAATAAGGGATACAAGAATGAAGAAAATGCTCTGAAATTAATTGTAGGGAAGATTGCACAATTCTTGTGACTATACTTAAAACATTTTAATTGTATTATATGTGAATTATATCCCAATTAAACAAGTTAAACTTGTTTAGATAAAAATATTTAAAAGATCATTTCACCCTTTTCTATGTATGCTTATCTGATACAACTTATATTTAAGTAAATGGCACTGACCCTTGCTTTTGCTAGGCAACTTGGTTTTGAAACTTACTCTTCTGTCTCCTTATATAT